AGGCTTCAGGTCTTCAAGGCTTCAGGTCGTCACCAGGCTTCAGGTCTTCAAGGCTTCAGGTCGTCACCAGGCTTCAGGTCTTCAAGGCTTCAGGTCGTCACCAGGCTTCAGGTCTTCAAGGCATCAGGTCGTCACCAGGGTTCAGGTCTTCACGGCTTCAGGTCGTCAGCAGGGTTTCAAGGCTTCAAGGCTTCATGTCTTCAGACGAAAGTCACCCGGGACTGCCAGCACACTGATCATTTTCCCCTACCACGGTTTTCCACTTCAGTGACCGTTGTGACCGTTCCTTGTGACCAGCGCACAAATGTTCTTCCAGGACTTCTTCAGCGCGCAGAATGACTGCCAGGGATTGTTTAAGCAATTGAGCTTTGAAGAAGCCCGCAGGGAGCTGCAGAGGATCAGATGTTTTGCGCAGCAAGAGGATCCTCCGCAGCTTTTCGACTACCTCTGCCGGATCTTTCTCTTCAGCTAACCGTCAGATTAAGTGCTGTAACCTTTCGTGTGTGTGTTTGTGTGTGTGGATGGTGGTGATTCCTCGGGTTTTCATTTGCGCAAACGCAGAGAAAGTGATTTGGACACTCACCAACCCATGTCATCCCATGTTTGGTTTCGACTCAGGTCAGAACTCAGAATCTCAAGTGGAGATCTCACAGAGCTGTGTGAATGAGCTGGTTTTGTCCTTTGGCCTTGGAAGATTGGTCCTAAGACTTGGTCGCATTTTTGATATGTTTATTTTATTTTCCGGTGTTTGCAGTGTATGATTAAAAAGCTGGTCTGGTGACTTATGTTTTCACGTTGTTTCGACTCGACCCCCCGTTCCAATGCTGGAACACGAACCGGTAGAACCCCCATGGCCCTGCGTCCTCGTGGTTTTGAGGAGAGGTTCTGCGGCGGAGTGGCCTGTCTTTGGAGGATGCTCAAGCAGCATTTCACCGCAGCTTCTCCAAAGCGCAGCGTTTCCTGCGCTTTCGCCGCATGTTTGGAGACAGGACCGGCCCTGTTGGGCCCGTTCTTGAAGAAACTCGGGGCCCGATGTCCTAAAGTCCAGACAAAACTATGATATACTGTATATATATATATAACACAAGAATTACCAAGAATTAACATAGGCATTTGATCATGGACTCAGATTTTTTTGTTTCTTTTGTACGTTTGGGGTTATCAAGTGATGCCAATCCCCCTTCCTGGCACTAGGAACTCGCAGGACTCCAGGACACAAATTGGTTTGTTTGGTTGCCTGCTTGTCAGCTGCCACAACTGAACTCTTACATAGGAACCAGATGCAGGACACACTTGTATTGTCAAGTTGATGCGTAAGAAACCCTGAGATCCTGATGGAAGAAATTCTGCGCCCCTCGTGACTGACCAATAGGCAGGGTCGGGGGTGTGCCCAATGTTTGTGTCTTTCAACAATCTTTCAAACAGGATCATGCGTTCGCTTCCTTATGCCGCAGGAAGCTGGATCCTCTCCCTGTGAAGCTGGAACTTTGTTCGGGCAACGGCGATTGGGTAGCCCGAAATGATTTGTTCGGTCGGCGAATCCAGTACACTGCTAGACAGTTTATACTTCCCTACCACTTGTTGCATCCTACCCGTATCTATCTTTTTCTTTTGCAGATTTGACCTGCACTTGGCAGATCTGCTCAGAGCCTGGTGAGGTGATTGCCCAAGCCAAAGCGGAAGAGGGCCTTGCCAACTGGATTGCTCTTGAGTTGAGACACGATCGTGTTCATAACATCTTCAGCAGCCCCTTGGACTTGCTTCGCAGAGTTTTTGGGGCAAGGGGCTTAAAACGTTGTAGGCAGAGCTATGAGCACCAACGAGTCAAACAGAATTGGACAGGTGTCTTGCTGTTGGGTGGCTGTTGCATGTACTGTTGGGGGCTGTTGCGTAGACATTGATGTGCCGCGAGCTGCTGAGGGATGGTCTTTGAGCAGGCCCTGGTGCTTTCAACAATGGCACCTGAGTCATCAGGGTGTGAGACCATTTGATATGAGCCAACAAGTGATTTCATAAAATTCAATGGCTCTGTCAGACATCGCTTTCTCACTACCCCGAGAGGACCGGAGTGGCCACTCCGTGGATTTGTTGAAGTCTTCTCTGCAAGTCGTCCGTGGCAGGTGTCAAACCTCTGCGTCATTCGTGGGGATGCAGCACAGGTGATACCGCAGCACTTCCAGCAGGAGTCTGTGCCACAGCCTCGGCGCCTTCTCGGGCTTTCCTTCGAAGTTGGGCTTCCATTTTGTTGACCTTTAAGTATATAATTAACTGGGGTGATTCTTGAGAATATGGACCATATATGGACCATATGGACGGTGTTTTGTTGCTCTTTTCCTTCTCTTTTGCCCCGGAATGAACGCTCTGGTGGACGGAATGAGCCGCTCACCCCGCCGTTTTCGTTCCTCGAGGTCCCACGTCTTTGTGAACTTTCCGGAGCCGCCGCATTTCTCAGGAGCCGTGGGACATGGAGGGGACATGTCCTACGAAGAGACCCACATGGAGCCTGAAAACCACTGGATTGTAGAGAGTGTAGAGGAAAAGAGTCTTCCAAAGGTCCATTTTCAGGTTCCATGTTAGTTTTCGGGAGTATATATCTATGTCTATGTCTATGTCTTTTATGACATGGATGTCTGCGTTTTTCTTTTTCAGGTTCTCCAGCTGTGCTTGTGATTTCCAGTTTGTGGCGTCTTGGTCTGAGGTGCTGTCACCGCCACTCTTGGCTCAAGCCGGGGCAAGTCTTCGTTTTCGAGTCTCCTAATATCTCCTAATCGTGCTGTCAAGATGTCGCAGATGTCCAAGATGTCATCTGCCTTGGCGCTGGCAGCGGTCAGCTTTGTCTTCCTGAATGCCAGCGTCAGCTTCCTGGCTCCAGCTTCCCCAAATCCAGCGCCCAAATCTGCACCAGCCACAGCCTTTCACTCAGAGGCTTCAGAGCCATGGATGGCTTCCTCGACCAATGCCCCAGTGTACGGCATGGCCCTGTTGGCCACTGCTGCTGTCGGGCTCATGATTCATGGACGCACTCCGAAAGTGGCCCGCAAAGGAACTTTGCATGGCATCAAGTTCCCGTACTCCATTCAGAAGGATTCCTATGCTGATCTTGAGTTCCAGAACGATATCGGCTACTTGCCAGATGGCACGCCGATGAACAGGGCAGGCAACTGCGTCAATCATCCGGAGACTATCGGGCCTGATCCTCATTCTCCAGGCTCGGCTTTGCCAAGGGCTGAGTTTTGCAACTCAGTGGGCTACCTCCCTGATGGCACGCCCATGAACCGTGCCGGGAATGCCATCAATCACCCTGAAACCATTTCGCCCGACATGCATGCTCCCGGTTCACCTCTCCCGGCTTCCCACTACTATGCCGATGTGGGCTACCTGGTGGATGGCACAGATTTGCTCACCGCTGGCAACAACTCAGTGAGGGGTGGTGCAGTCCCCCCAGCGGCCGCTCCGGCTGCGTCCGCGGCCCCAGCGATGGCTGCTTCCGGAGGCTTCGCCGCAGCAGCGGGAGGAACTTTGCTGCATGCCCGTGGCTTCCTGTATTCTGTGCAGAAGGATGCCTACGCTGACTTGGCCTTCGGCAACGATATCGGCTACTTGCCAGATGGCACGGCGATGAACAGGGCAGGCAACTGCATCAATCACCCGGAGACTATCGGGCCTGATCCTCATTCTCCGGGAGCTCCTTTGCCCCGTGCCCTCTTTGTGAATGACGTGGGGTACTTGCCTGATGGCACACCTTTGAACCGCGCCGGGAATTGCATCAACCACCCAGAGACCATCGGCCCTGATCCTCACTCCCCCGGTTCGGCATTGCCATCGTCGGCCTATGCCGCGGACATCGGTTACCTCGTGGATGGCACGGATATTACCACTGCGGGCAACAACGCGGTGCACTAAACATGCGCAATTTGCGTAGAGGCCAAATCAGGCAGAGGATATTGAAAGGCTAGAGATGCCACAATGCCACACTTTTATAATCAATAGGGTCAGATGGCCTAGAGCCACGGTGCCCCTTGCCGAGACTCATTTTCTATTTCTCCTTGAAGCGATCGATCGAATGTCCCCATGCACCAGAAAAAAAGTTGTCGACAGACGTTGCAACGATCAGACGCTACTCTATGCTACTCTTAGACAAAACGCTGACAACAACTTTCTTTTGCTAGTGCTAGGACTTGTCCCATCAGTTTTGGCGGTGACAATCGCCTGTTCGCAGGCTCAGAGACTGCTGAATCCAAGAACGAGCTGCTGACCGCCACCTTTTTCCAACAGCCCTGTGGCCAAATGTCCCCCTCATAGATACCATGTCTGCAAGTCCTAAGTCTATGGTCCTTTTTCCAGAGACACCCATCGATGTTCAACGACTGTTTGCCGGTTTTCCAAGCGTGTCAGCAACTTGAGGCTGCACTCGAGACTTGCACCAGCAGGAAGGCTCACAATTCTGTCAGACAACCGGAGGCCTGCGGCATCCTGCAGCCTGGGTGGGCTGCCAAGCGTTTGCTTGGCAGGTCGTAGAGCTGGGGTTTCGACATGTCTCTACCATGGTGGCTGTTGCTCTAGAAAAAGGATTAGTAAAGATTTGGATATATACATTTGGTAATATATATATATATAATCCCGTAAAATGCTTGAGCTGAACTCTGATTCAAGATGCCTAAAGCTCGCAATATCAAAACACGAGTGACTCACATCCCTCAGCTATGACTCTCAAAGATTCGGACCGAAGGGCGGACAGTGATGCTTCGTTTGAGCTGCAGCTGCGCTGCTGGGCGCGATGATGGAAGATGATGAGGCATCAGAAGAAATTCATGATGAGGTACCCAGAGAAGACCTGGCTGAAGCGCCTGGAGAAGTTGATGAAGAGGGCCCAATCCCAACCGACATCAATACTGAGACACTGGAGAGATTAGAGCTTCCTTCAGATGTGGCTGAAGCAACCCAACAAGCTTGGAGGGATTACTTGAACACGCATCCCTCGAACATCAGTGCAGGTGAAGCGATCTACAGCTCCATTTTCGATGCCAATCCTGGGCTGCAAGCAGCCTTCAAGAGCCCCAAGGCGTCGGTGGCCGAACGGTTTGTGAACGGACTGAGCGATGCCACCAGGCTTGCGGGCAGCAAAGGCAAGCTCCTGTCTTTGGTTCAAATCTTGGGATTTCGACATCTGGATATTGAGGTTTCCCCACAGAAGGTGGACCTTTTCCGTGATGCCTTGCTCGAGATGCTTGAACTGGAGATGGGTAAGAGATTTCCGCCTAAGGCTCAGTATGGCTTCGCCCTCCTTCTCAACTACGTGGGCGGCGCTTTCATCTTCATACGCCGGGAATATCAATCACGTGTCCAACTCATCCATTCCACTTGGCATGCTGCCAAAGAAGGAATTCGAGAGGCAACTGCTGTGACGACCGCCGCAACGGATCAGTCGCGGCGGTCGTCCAAGCACAAGGACGAGAAGGAGACTGTGGTGAATGACATTTCACCGGTGTCCAGGGAAGCTGAGGCTCAGCCCAGTAAGTTTGACAATGTGGTGGATGTTCCAACAAACTTTGCCGCACCTTGGATTTCAAAGCATTGCTTTGCCCAATTGCAACTTTTTGTTGCTTACGTTTTGTGGGGTCCTTGGAGATATTGTTTCTCATGTGTTTCTATGCTCCATGTATTTTCGCATGGAGGAAATGTTTCATTTCAACGTCTCCGCCATGGGCTATTCGGCCAAGAAGCATTGGATGGATTTGGTGCTTGAGCAGTTGGACGAGATTGATCCTTGGCGTCAGCATCGAAGAAACAAACACAGACACCCGGAATGGCAAAGAGTGTGAATCTGAGGTGATCAACGTGTCCCAGAGTTGCCGGATTCGAGAGGAATGCGAGAAACTGGCACTGGTTCTTGCCAAATATGAAGGGCAGGTGGTGATTTCAGAAGTAAGGTCAGTGGTCATGTCTTCGCTGAAATCCTTTATTTCAACGTGGGGCGAGGAGCATGAAGTGGCATGGGCGTGGTTTTGGATCAATGTGGAAAAGCTGATTGCAGAATTGGATGGCAAGTTGCGAGCACAAGAGCGGCACTTGGAAGATTTTCTGCAGACCAGCTCCAAGGAAGCCGTGGACCATGTTGTTCAAAACATGCACAACAAGTTCTTCGAGATTGCTCCAGCTGGCCAGGAGTTCTTCAAGGTATCAAAGACGCGGATGTACCACATTGCTGAGAGGACACTTGACCTTGCTTTGGCCCTGCATCGTGATCCCAAGCAAACAGTCCGGGATCTATCTGCGTTGGGCTTGAGACACGTGGCACTGTCTATCCCTGTGGAGTTTTTTCCTCCCTTCGTGCAAGGTGCGGTTGAGGCGTTGGAGGAAGCCACTGAAGATGAGATGGTGATCCGGGCCTTTCGCTGGTCGGTCGCACTACTTGGAAAGATCCTGACGCGCACCGTCATTGAAGGCTGGTACCAGTGATTGGCTGTCCTCTGGTATAGAGTATAAACCCAACTAAGCCCCAAGATCAAAAGTGGGCTGGTGCTCTCCAGAAACTAGATGGGCCTTTCGTTCTGGAGGTTCAGCAGGTTGCTTGCTATCCTTGCGTTTTCTTACTCCGGTCCCAGTCCCGGTCCTTCCATGAGGCTCCAACCTTGTGATGTGCGCCATTAACATGAATGACGAGAAGGCCGTCAAGAAGGCCGTGGCTATATCTCCCCGTGGCACGCGTGCCGAAAGTCTACTCTACGTGACGGTGGGCACGGACTCCGTCTCCCCGCTTCTTTGGGCCATCGACTGCGGCTCCCTTGTCGCTGCAAAGGCGATTCTGAAGGAGACGGGTGGGCCTGGGAGGTCAAAGGCTCTACAAGAACGTTTAGGAAGTAGGACATCAACACTCTAATTATCTCGTGCATGTTGGGCAGGCTGAAAGACTGGGAGCAGCCAGTGCCTCGATTTTTGATCATAGCCAGAGCTTTGATTAGCTTCCTTAGCTTCCTAGTTCAAGACTTGGTGTTCGCCCGCACCAACGCCCAGATCGTTGGAATTGGCAGGACTTACTCACAATCCGGGCAGATCGCCGTTCCTATTACTATGGCTGTGATGAGCTTTTTGCCCGGCATCCCCACATCATAGATCACTTGATCCATACCGCCAGCTCATTGTTACCCACTTTGCTTGACGGGCTTATTTGGCGCTCCCGCTATGCAGTGGAAGGGAAGAGACGGGTAAACTACTATGTGAAGCACCTCATTGAAGATAGTGAGGGAAAATTCAATCAGGCTCTCAAGTGGATCGTGCAAAGCAGAGATACCGAGCTGGTTCGCCATCCCGCATTGGAGCTTGTTTGTGATACCATTTGGGAACGCTTGGCATTACGCCTCTTCCTGATTGACCAAAGCATCTACCTGATCTTTCTGATTGTTTTTGTCACGGGACAGTCCTTCTTGCAACATTTGAATTCTGGCGATCCTGATGCGGCTGTCCGCACAGTGACCTTTATTTGCCGCTTGATCATCTACCTAGGTTCCATTCCGCAGCTCCTGTTGTGGCACCTCCGCAAGATCAGAGCCAATCGAAGGGAAGGTCACGTGGTGAATGTCGGCGTCCAATGCCCAGTCTATTTGCAGAGCACCCAGGCCCTGTACAAGCTGGGACTCTTACTTTGCCTGATTTTGATGTGCATCCTGGAGCCCACGTTCTGGTGCGTGAGCGAAATGCAGGGCAGCTATTCTGGAGCAGGGCTGTTTACACAAAGCTGTCCAACGGCCAGGCCCTTTCGAGACATTTACTCCTTGTTGTCCATGCTGGCGGCACTGTTCTACTGGCTCATACTCAGCAACCTCTCAATCCTATCTATGCGTGCTTTAGCCTTTTGTTTGCTGTGTGGTCAGCTTTTCGGCGAGTTCTGCCTTTTCATGATTGCCCTGGCATTCTTGATTCTAACATTTGCAAGCTCATTGAGCGCGTTGGAGCACGAAAGCTGGGCATTTTCCAACATTGCCAGAGCAGCGCTATCTCTTTGGGAGTTGTCATTGGGCATGGCATCCAAAGCTCAGTTGGAGTCACTTGGAGACGATTTGATCCTGTTCCTGGCTTTGGCGGCCTTTGCCACGGCACTCCTCATCTTTTTCCTGAGCCTCCTCGTGGCACAATTCGACCAAGCCTATGAGATCCGCTACGAAGAGATGCTGGGCTTCGCGCGCTTGAAGCGTTGTGAGTGCGTCGTTTTGTTGCTGGAGACCGTCTCGTTGAAGAGTTGGACCAATTTCAGGGAGTCTTTGCAGCTGGAGGTGCCTTTGGAATTCAACGCGGGAGACGTGGGCATCGCCGGGGGGCTTCAAGTCTCTGAGCCGGCGGTGAAGCATCCAACGGCCAGGGAATCCATCAAGCGCTATGCAGGCTCGTCCTCGCAAAGCATGCCCTGGCCTGAGGAGAAACTGGAGCATGATGAAGATCCCTTTGACCAACTCGAAAGAGACACTGGGCACAGCTGTTCGAAGTTTTTTCATGTTGTTTTTTTCCACCTATTTTCCGATATTGTATATTGCGCGCCTTCCTGTTTGTGTAAGTGTAATGGTTATCCTGTGATAATTAGTTATTCTTTCCTGTTTGTGTAAGTGTAATGGTTATCCTGTGATAATTAGTTATTCTTCCGTGCTGGCCTCACCCCAGGATATGCTGTCCACGGTGAAGGATAGCACGCGATCGGCCCGAAAGAGGGACACGCAAAAGAGATCGACGTCCAAGCTTTCGGTCTCCCAGGCCACAACGTCAGAAGCGACGAGCGCCAGCACCTCCACAACATCTCAGTCAATTGGAGCTTCCACGGGCACGTAAGACAAATCAGGATGGGCTGAAGCAGTGGAGCACGGCAGTGACTTCAGAGTTCGTGAGCGAGCCAGAAATAGATCAGATAATGTTTGCAACATTTTTCGATGCATGTCCATAGTCCATAGTGTAATGTGAAATGTTTGCTGTGATGTGGCACATGTTTCCATGTGTGACTTCAGAATGGATCAACGAGACCTGAAACAAAAGCCGAGCAGATGTCGAAGACACTCTGCCAGCTTTTCAGGCGAATGGAGCCGAGAAAAACTGCCCTAGCCTATATATAAAGAACAAGATCGTTTCAATTGTTTCGCTTCATCTTTGCTAGTGGGACATTGTGGTGGGAATTACATGCAAATCATCAATCATAACAAAGAACTCTAACTCTTTGGGTCCAACTTGGTAGGTACATCAAGCGTTTGGCGAACACCATTGCAACACTCGTCGATGGCTCGCTCTTCGAGTCAGTGGGCTGCAACGAAACGAGTACGAAACGAGTTCGGTGCTTCGCTTCGCTTCGTCGCTGGTCGGAGCCGGTCGGTCTTGGAGTACATCCGAGGCCCACCCATGCCAAAGCCGACTTTGAGACGCTGCAGCGTGGCGGAATGGCTGCCAGAAGGATGGCGTGACACGGAAAACAGTTGCATCCTCGAAGGAAGGCTGAAACATGCAACAAAGCATCAACGATCGGGAGTGGCTGTAAACCTTATGCATGTTTTTCACATCCATCCTGAGATGGGACGAAGGAAAGGGTGGTGTCGATGGACCCGCTGGGGCAAACCGTGCGGAATTCGAGGCATGGGATCCCCGTGAGCAGAGGAACACCTGGAAAGCGTGTGGGCCACACGAAGAAGACGTAGCTCAGCTGCAGGGCCCAGCATGGCTGCGCCCAATTGGATCCAATCAAATATACCTACAGTATATATAGATGCTGTCCTTGCGAATCCTTGCCCGCCCTTTAGGAAAGATCCTTCCAAGGAGTAGACGATTCCCTGCTTCAAGCGGAGAGTAATACGCCCACCAAAAGAAATGCACCTTTTTCATGATCGTTTCTGCAAGCGTTTGGTCCTCACCCCAAACGACAGAGACGAGCTTTGAGGACCTCTTACTTCGACAGACTCTGGGCAAAGGGAGATCACAAAGATCCTTGGAAGACACAGCACGGTGAGTCAAAACTCAAAACCAAACAAGAGAATTTGCACATAGGAGGTTGACATCACCAGTCTACGGTCCCCACACACACACACACATATATATATATAATAACTATATATTCTATTATTACTATAATATTAATGTATAAAAAGTCATTTTGGAGGGTCCAGGGCCGTTTTGACTCAGAGAAACATGTTTTCGGAGCTTTCCTGTTTATTCCCCAAACAGAGTGATCACACTAAGGGTGCTTATGGTAAGAGTTAAAGCACGGCTGGTGTTGATCGAAGCGCGGCTAATTCGCGCTGCTATGTACAGTACATTCAGTACATTCAAGCACCTCGAAGTCTTCGACGTGCATTTCGACTGCGCAGTCAGAATCTGGTGGGCCCGAGCGGGTGCTTTCCTCGACAGTGCTCTCCTCGTGGCGCCGTGCACATGTTCGGACATGGCGGCCATTTTTGGTGGCAACCTCGTGTTTGGTGGTCCAAAGTCGACTTTTCGTGGCAGGTGCGGGAGGTTGGAGCGGCTTTACTTCGATGTGCGGATTTCGATGTGGTCTTCGCCGCGATCTGATTTCGGCGACGTTTGGGTATTACGAAAGCCAGCCTTCGTAGAAGGCGCTAGCGGAGTTGTGTTTGGCGAACGAAGTGAGTGGTTAGGGGGTCTGGGGGGGTGGCCCGGGAAAGGTACACGTAAGCTCGGCACATGCTGGGGGAGGAGGGTGCGTCGAGGGAAGGTTTTTTGAGGTTGTGTTGGAGGTGATTTTTGAGGGGTGGTGATGCAAGAAATGCAATCTGCATCATTTGCATCATCTGAATGGAAAGGTGTAGTTGGCACCTTGCCAGGTATAGAGACCCAGGGTAGCTA